GAAAATATAAGAAAAAGGCTAATGACAAAAGACGAGTTCTTACATGTTATTATCCCATGAACCAACTATGATTGTTTTAGCATCAGGCATAATGGCACACGAAGAAAGAGCCTGTAGAGAGATAAAACACCATCAGAAAAATCTAACCAAGCATGCATACAAAAACATCTTAGGTGCATTTTTCAGTCATATATTAATAAAATTTGCTATAAAAGAGTTAATACAGCGTTAGCACTAATCTGGCTTTAGGCCCATGTTCTTTGGGGACAAGGTCAAAACAAGGGCCCATAGGGACCTGWTTTTATTGATTTAGAAGGTGGGTAACGGAAAATACCCTCCTCCCCCCTCAGATAGCTGTTAAAATACTTGATACTGCGTGTTAGTAGTGAATATTTCAATACACAAATGTATCGCGACTAAATWGTCTCCTATATTTTTGAGACGAMAATATTTTGTGGTATTGTCGTTTCAAAATTAAGGCTTCTGATTGGCTAACGCGCGACGAAAAGGAAAGCTTGAGCGMGCGYGCGTTAAATCTTTACGCTTGTTGTTTGCGCCATAACGCGTGCTCGTAAGGAGAATTTCGTATTTAATCAAAGTAATTCGGTCAGTYCGTCGCTTCGCGACTMCGCYCAATACCGAATATATTTTCTCCCAACTAGTCRTCAATATTTCATGGTATTGTCGTCTCAARATTGTAATTAGTTTATAATAWTCATTTGTTAAGTATWTCTGCTAAGGGGTTACCCCACTCTTCCCCTCTAAGTCGGRTCCCGCTATATTACGACTGTTTAGAACTCATCCCTTTTTCTGTTGCGGACAGAATATGATACACGTTCTAAGAAAATGAGCATTAGAAATCACAACAAACTACTAACCATTGAAGAGAGATTTATACTTCGTATTTGTTGTTTTTCTTCTAACGARTAGATCTTCAGTTGCGTATCTAGGGAGAATGTAGTGTTTGTAATTAGTATAAACAAACTACTCTACTATTGCTATTACTGATGCATTCTGATTGCTAAGATATAAATATGACCTATTTCTCAGAGCCCAAAAATGATATCAAGGCATGCAAAACATGCAGTACCTTAACACAACTATGGAGCATGCACTTGCAGATATGTTGGAAGATCTAACATCAATTCTTTGAATAGATAAATCGTTGCATTTTCCGATACTGATTGTCATGTAGAATAACGTACATGTAATGTGCCCCCCTTCCTTGCCTTTCCTCTACCWCTCCTTCTCTAGCTCCCCCTCCCCCTCCCCCCTTGAAACACGGCGTTCCCATGGCTTTGGAACAACTACAGATTACTGAGAGATGTAATAAGTATTAATTATTTGAATGCAAATCCTCATTTTCCAATGCTGATTCTGATGGTCACTATTGGACTAACTAACTCCTCTCTTGTCATCCCTCTACCATTCCCGTCCCCTTACATCCCTACACCCTTGGCTCGGTCCCCCTCTCTTGTTCTCTCTCTACCCCTCCAGTCCCCTTACAGCCCTAAACCCCTACGCCCTTGGCTCTGTCTCCTCCCTTGCCATCCCTCTGCCCCTCAGGTCCCCTTGCAGCCCTACACCCCTACACCCTTGGCTCTGCCCTCCTCCCTTGTCATCCCTCTACCCCTCAGGTCCCCTTACAGCCCTACACCTCTACACCCTTGGCTCTRTCCTCCTCCCTTGTCATCCCTCTACCCCTCAGGTCCCCTTACAGCCCTACACCTCTACACCCTTGGCTCTRTCCTCCTCCCTTGTCATCCCTCTACCCCTCAGGTCCCCTTACAGCCCTACACCTCTACACCCTTGGCTCTATCCTCCTCCMTTGTCATCCCTCTACCCCTCYCGTACCCTTMCAGCCTTACACCCCTACACCYTTGGCTCTGAAAACTGTTCAGGTACCTACCTTGTGAAACAGAGAACACATGTTTACAGTCTTTGGAAAGTCGTACTGACGTGACAGTGCTAAAACATTTAAATGTRTAATAAGAAAATCATTAGAACCCAATGAATCATCAATAAATCATCGTCAAAAAATTACCACATTCTTTGTTTTACAGTAGTGGAATGGAAGAGTGCGAAAGAATGAATTAGTCCAATAGAGATTTAGAAGGATTACATAATAACAGTCTTATATTATAGGTTGCGTTAGTTTTATAACAGTCCGATATTGTGCTTGATTTAAATACTATTTTTAAACGTTCAAACAATTAAAAAAATAGAAAAGAAATATTGATGCCTTAGTTTATATAGTTCACAGTTTAGGGATCATTTGAAAATTATTATTCGCTTCTCCGAAGTTAGATGAAAGACTGGTRACGAGCTCGTTGTGCAAAGGATTGTGGGTCAATTAATTTTGGGATGAGATTAAAAGCTTAGCAACCTCTCGTGCCCAAGTTCAGTCCCACAAACCTATTCACCATACGGTCATTAATCTCTCTTACTAGGAAAGGCGAATATCTGTATTAGATTTATTTGTTATATCTTATTTTTTAAATGTTTAACAATTTCAAACCTTTTTTTATATATATATATAAATTTTAACTTATTTTTTATCTTATGTTTTTATCATATCCTAATCTTTAAAGACGTTTAATTGATGATAAGGGCATATCTTTATAGTACTATATTTTTTTAATTGTTATTCAAAGAAACCTTTATTGCATTATTTCATCAGTCAATGATTATTATTTGACTGGACTTTTTTCTCAGGATTGCGCACTCAACCAAATCCGAAAAAAATTTCGAACAAACATGTAACTTGGAATTCGTCATCTTTGTTGTCCTTTTGTTGAATGCGCAAGTGAGCTTGAGAAAGAGGACCATTCGACATGACAAGTGGCTATGGTTTAGGCATCAGTGAGTACAATTTAGTCTTTATAATGTCCTTGTATTTATCCTCGCTTCGCTAGTGAAACAGTGCTTTCTATATGTYCAACCTTTTGACATTACTGAATACAGTATACTGTGTCCAGGTTTAGTTACATTAATTAGTGATATTAAGTTGAATGATAGTTGATTAGGAGTGTGTGTTTATGTGATACGTGACTAAAGTAATGACGTCTTATTTTGTTTTCTATTAATCATTTTAAATTGTTAATTATGATTATTAAATTATGTATTAAAGGCTAATTACATATAGGCATGACACGTGACCAAACTGTCAATATTGTGCATTTAAGTTCAAAAAATCCTTKACACGTGACCAAAGTATTGGTGGTCACATGGTCCTTTATGTTTAATATATCAGTGATCACGTGTTACTTTATAACTAATGTATTTAAAATAACCATCGTCATCAGCTACGCATCACTTATATAATTGAGTGTTTATACAAGCATTCAATTCTAGTTTATATCGAAACGTTAGTGCATTAGTGGTGGGGATAGCCCCCTTCCTAAATTATCTTGTGTTAGTGTTTTAATGCAAACCACGATATGGATCATTTAGGATTTAAAGAAGGAATTTAAGGCATTCAAACCTTCTGTGGCGCGTGATAGATTTGTTGGCAATATTCACTTTAACCTCTTTAATACAAGAAGAGTCCCTGGAGTAGAGTAGTAGCTTCAGGTTAGAAAACATACAGAGAATGTGATGTAACACTGAGAAGGATTGAATATCAGAATCAATATAATCAGATATCCAGTTCCAATAAGAACTACACAACAACAACAATAACAACAGCGACAACAACAACAACAACAACAACAATAACAACAGCGACAACAACAACAACAACAATAACAACAGCAACAACGATGACGACGACAACAACATCCGACAGAGATAAAGTAAATCRYTCACTAAAACATTAKTTAAACCTTATGGAGCCYCGAGAAAACTCTGGGCCGATCTGGCAATTTAGATGTCACTTGATAGAAATGTATTACGTGACAGACGCCTTGTGTGATACAGGTGTATCACGTGACAACTTAGTAAAGAAAGCGAAAAGCTTCTATTCTAAGTAGCGAAGTATCTGGTTATAACTGTTAAAGTAGCTGGTCATAATTGGTTTTCAGTACGGTGATTSGATTAAATTTACTTGATAGCGGTAAACAAGGGATTTACATTGATGTTTCAATCTCATTTTTATTGGCTTTAATCATTGGCAATTTGAGAGATAAGAAATAAGGCTAAGATAAAGGGAACAAACATCTGCAAATAATATAGGGGATATCTTTATCAGTCGGTAACACTCAATATCCCTGGCTGAAGTCCAGTACATACATGATAAATAATAATAATATCACTTTTTTAGTGAATGAGGTATTGAGACCTCTTAAAGAAGCGACCACGCCATCACGACCACCTCTGCAAATCGACCACATAAGAAAGATCTAAAGCTAGGTAATYGTGACTTACTCTTTGTGTAGCTTGTGACATGACGCTTTTTCTAGTTTATCAATGCTGCCCCAGTGATCTAGTTCTGGCTCGGCACTGTCATCRAAGTCAACTGGAAGGAAAGAGAAATAAGATTATATGATGTTGATAATCATTATCATRACGGTGATGTGGAAGACGATGACGACTATAATGATAATGGTGATCATGATCATGATGTGCTAGTGGTTATGGTGGTTTCGGTGATGGTGGTGATGACGATAATGATCAGGATGATGATGATGATGATGATGATGACGGTGATGGTGATGATGACGGTGATGATAATGGTGATCATGATCATGATGTGCTAGTGGTTATAGTGGTTTCGGTGATGATGGTGATGACGATAATGATGATGATGATCGTGATGAGGATGATGATGGTGGTGATGACGGTGATGGTGATGGTGATGATGACGGTGATGATAATGGTGATCATGATCATGATGTGCTAGTGGTTATAGTGGTTTCGGTGATGATGGTGATGAGGATGATGATGGTGATAATGATGATGACGGTGATGATGACAGTGATGATTGCGATATTCAATTGACACTCGTTGGAATGAACGAAACACTGTGTATCATTGCCAACTTATGCTGAAAGTAAGGCATAAAATGTCCTTGTTTTACGTACTAAAGAGAACGGCTACGCCAAAAGCTAATCTTTGCTGTTCTTCGTTTTAAGTAAAGGGATCCCAAAATACTTCATTTCACTCTAAAACTGGGGTGCTTATTGAGTAAAATACTAGACAAACATGAAATAATAATGCAATAGGATTTGAAGCGCTTCAATGTTGCCGACGTTGTTGCCTGCGTTGCCTTCCTGCAGCTTAAGGGAATGATGATGACGATGATGGTAATTTGTAATAATGATGATAATAACAATAAGAATGCAAAACTTTATAACAACAAAAGTGTCTTACCACTGACGTTCACTACTGGTATTTTCTCTGCCCTCGGTTCTTTTTCTTCATTTTTGATCGCAACGTCGTTTTGAGCTGTTACACCATTAGTAGATGAAGGCAACGCCTAAGAAAAGCCAATGTCAACATGTTTTTTTAACCAAGGACTAACCATATTTTTATTTTGTTTTTTCATTATATGCTAATTATTTTGTGGTATGTCTGGAAAGGAGCTTTTAGCTAAGTACATAGACCACGTTAAATATTTAAAAGGTCATTGTATTGTTGTATTGCAACCTTTAATATTGTTTTCGGGAAACTAATCGTCATCTYACGAGAGTATAGTTTGTTAGSTCTATCCCTTGATTACTCGGGGTTCTCTGGGTTTTTTTCCCTCTGCAAAACCCAATACGCTAGATGGCAATTGGATCTGTGAGTTAGCCGTGCCTGACTTTGATCAGCCCAGAGGTTTTGTAAATGTCTAGACAACTCACAACGCTGCAGCTTTGATGGGCAAAAAAAAAAGAAAAAACACAAAAAAACTGACGCCCAGGATATGAAGTTGTAAAGCAATATTACAAACAAAAGAAAACAATAAAGAAATATCGTACACGAGTAAAAACATTTTGGGGGAAATTTGGCGCGCAAGAAGAAACAAGGAAGTAAATAACAAGTACCCGCGAAAATACCCAAAGAAACACCGCGAACCAGAGAAAACCACGGAAAATTGTTACGCACCAGGAAAAAACAAAAAACAAAAAACGACGAAAGAACATTTGCGCAATAGAAAAAACAATGACACAAGTATTGCGGTTCTTTCTTGATGTTGTAGGGCACCTGAGTCATGAGTAAGAGAGGCTAGTGAGTGCAGAACATTAGTTATTCAAATTAGTCGTCATATTTCGATTTGAAATACTAAATGAAACATACCATTCTTTTTGGATGAGGACTCTTGAACAGTTGCTTTGGTGTTTGACCGAACTCTAGTATCTGTGCTTCAAGTGATGCTCGTTCATTGGGGTCTGTAATRCTAAAGACAATAATATCCATAACATTAAGTACAAATTCATTTCACTCTTACTAGGTTCTTAAACAATTTCTAAATGCCACTGAAATACTTTCACGCTTCAGACATCCCCCCACCGTTTTCTCAAGGTCGCGCGCTCATCCAAATTTAAGAAACTTGACGGGCGACGATATCAGAACAGGAGCTTTAATGAGAATTATCATACATTTCCATGATATTTTTTAGATACGAATTCATAAAATCTACTATTCTCCTCTTTAAATATAAAACTGGCTTCTCAATTTTACTGAATTTGCGTTTTTTTAGTTTTGTGGCCCGTCAAGATGCGCACGCAACCTTGGAGAAAACAGTCTCTTCGACTCTATAGTTGTTGTTTTTTGTTTTATTGTTTGTTCGTTTTTTTTGTTTTTTGATTTAGCTGTTTTCTTACCTGTCAAGGTCAACTGCGCCTTCATAGGTCAAATAGTAGAACACTGTATATAAAATAAAAAAGGTTGGTT